TTACTTAGGTCTAAGACCCTTACACACCTAGATCCAGGTCGCTGCTCCATCACTTCCCCACTGGTCACCTTGGAAAAGTTACCTATCCTTCAAAAGCCTCACTTTTCTCAACAATGGCAATAGCGGACTTGCCTCAAGGGCATGTCAGGCTCAAATGAGGTGATAAAGTCTTTAGTACATGATGAGAGCCCAATGGATGTTAACTATTATCAACTGTGGAAGAGAAAAGACTATTTCATGTACAATATCTGATTTTGATACTGGTTAAAACTCCTTCTAAGATTACTGCTATGAAGCAGAAGTAATTAACATTCACTGTCTCTCTTTCATCCCTCAGTAGAGGACTTAATATTTCAGCTTATGCATTTATTTTATAAATTCTTTCCTTCTCCTAACATATTATAGGATATTTTTGCTTGCTATTTTGTCACTGTTGCTGCTTGTTTTGTCTTTAGACAAATACATCTTAAGCAACTGGTTGTGTTACATATTTCACGTGGTGTGTTCAGTGGGGCTGAATCTAAATGAATTCATACTACTTTGTTTCCTATTGAAACAAACAGAAATGAGAATGAACTGGCAATGCAGTTTTAGAAAACATGGAAAAGTAGATGTGACCTATGAAGAAAAGGCAAATTATGCAAAGAGTTGCTTCATTCTCTACTTCATTTTGCTCTGAGGGCTCTGTCCTAAGGCAGAGTCCTCCAAGGCTATTTTCATAGGAGAGAATATATGAGACAGTAGCCCCTGGTTATGTTCTGTGCTCTAGAAATCTGTCAGAAATGTGAGATCAGGGATCCCATAGGGAGAAGCAGAGAAGTCCTCCCTTTGGGTTGTGACCTTTATTTCCAATCTTAGAGCTCCCACGACCAATCTAAATTTGATATCCTAGGAGCAAATTCAGAACTACTCTTCAAGCACAGGAGACTTTAACACAACCAGACCCCTCTTCCTTCACACTCAGGCCCAGCCCCAGCCGTTCATTCACTCTCCACGCTAGGTATTAATTCAATATAAAATATTCAGCTAACACTCGCACATATACACACACAGACTTATTTAAAGTCACATGGCAAGTTAGTAGCAAGCTACAAATGCTTAACTTCTGACTTCCTATTTTACAGTGTGTTCTGTCAGCACTAAACAAAGCAACCACTGAATCACTTGCAGATATTTCCTTGGCCCACTGGTTTGGGAGCTAATCCATGTTCAGTTTAAGCGGTTATTTTTACAGTGGAAAATGACACGGTCCACCACCTTTGATTTTCTTATGAAGTAGGTTCTACAATATTTTTAGTAAAGAACTTGCCTTCTGTTGTTGCCAGAGGTACAACCACTTTGCAAAGTATTATCCAGAGACACATAATTGTCTTTGCTGTCTTAAAGCAGATACAGGAGCACCCTATAAACAAAATCTAAAACTTATGACTCTGGTCTTTCATCCCACCAATCTGTGTTCCAAATGGCCAGAGATATCCTGCTAAAACACAATCAGAACAAGGTACTCTTGTTAAAACTGTACAACCCTTAAAAGCATAGTTCTTATGGTCTGCCCCCACCTTAACTCTCCAGCTCTTCTTTATGTTATTCCCCACAATGATTCCAAGCTATAATCAAAGACCCCTGAATGTGCCATGCTTTTCACATCTCTGCTCTGATGGAAAGAGCAAATCATCCATCATGTGAAAAGTGCCTTACATATGTGTAGGACAATCATAAGCTATAGAAGAGGAAAAGTGATTGATTAAATGGAGAGAAACATTTGAGAGATGCCTCTTAGCCTAAGACTAATTAAAGAGAAGCCTAAAAGTTTACCAAACCTTAGAGCCTGATGGTAAAAATGCTACTGACAAAACTTCTGTTACAGACCTCAATAGTTCAGTAGGTTCAAATCTATTTGAATTCGCACAGGATCAAAGGGAGCAGAGAATGTAAACATCCTAGCTGCTGAGGAATTCCCTGCAGACACTAGCTGACAGCATTACCTGTCTATAGAGAGATTTTCAAGGCAAATAGGTACTGGTCTAGATTTTTGGGGAGTGTGGAAAGATGTCTAATAGAATGAGTTTTCACCAATGGAGAAAAAAAGGGATACAGTGAAATGTCTGACTGAACACATAACCCTGGCTCAAATGCTTTTCTGGATGGAAATCCACACAAGGAAGCTAAATACCTTTCAGAACTTAATTGTTCATGTGCATAGAACTTTTGTATTGGAAACATGTTCACAAAACAAGGAATAAAGAAAGGAACAAAGGGAGGGATAGAAGGATTCTCTGGCCCAGTGGAGGAAGCTAGAAAGTGAATCACAATCTGTTCCAGTACACAGGCTGAGGAGGAGTGTTTCAGGAAAGGCAAGAAATGATTTGGAAACACTCTTCCATGGTAACTCTTGGGAATAAACGTAAGGGGATATGGAAATTCGTATTAAACCTCAATCTCTTTCCTAGACTCATTCCTTTCAATTGCCTTTTTTAGTTCTATTTTTGAATTTCACATGTTCTTTCAAATGTGAAGTGATAAAAAGAAAAACAGCAACCTAATGGGCTTTAAGATCATTAGGCTCAACCTCCTGCTGTATTCTGAGAACAATTACAAAATTAGAACCTAGGGTTTTCTGTCCTTAACCAATCTGTTCTTAAAATTGTCACCTAAGGAAATTCCACAACCTATCTTACTATCTCACTTTTCAATAATACAGATCCCCCCAATTTTCCTAATGTTTAACATAAACTACCTGTAATACATTCCCATATCATTCTTTTTTGCTGATGAGCAATTGGCCAAGACATCCATGCTCCAATAGCTACAATTTAATGGAATCACAAAATTATCATCAACTAAGTTCTCACAAGCAAAATAATGTCTGACCAATTTTGGTGTATCTCCAAACACCTACACCCTGACCTACAGATTCCTGAACAGGCTGGTAATTCACAACTCTAGAAAATAAGGGATATTTTTGTATGTTAATTTATTGATACTCATTTTTCCATAAGACTACTGTTAAGCTCTCCCCTCATAGGTTATGTTTTTGAAAACACTTGTGATTCTTACTGTTTTCCTCATACATCCTCTGCTCTATGCCTCACTGACTCTTCTTCCTAATCTTAGTAAATATAATCAGTAAAACCTGAGCAAGAACTATATTTTGCACTATACATTTGTTTTGTTTTTTTTTGCCAAATAGTATAAATTTTGCAATCTGCTATTTGTAAACATCACTTCTCTGGATCTGCTATCACTCCATTGCTTAATCCAATATTTTTTACTATAAAGAGTTAATTAAATTTTCCTCCATGAATAATCTGGTATGTCTAGTGAATTTCATTTTATACAATGATTTGTACAAAAATAAAATTGACTTCTATTTATAATTGATTAATAAAGAATTGATGATTATACATCCACTTGTATATTTATTACTTTATCAGTATCCATCATTATTCCTTTGAATCATATTTCACTAGTTTATTTGAAACTATCATGTAAGAATATTTTATTCCTTTCAGTTTCTCCTTTCTAACTATTCAAACCACTGTTTTCAAAATTATTTTCCATTTTCACTGTGTTAATTACCACAATTTCTGAAAATGTCACTAATGCTAGACATTTCCATCAGATTTAAATACCTCATAATTATTTTGGCTATCTAAAACTTATAATAAACACTTGTGTCACAGTCATTAAAATTAAGCTGATTTTTAAGGAACTTTTTTCAGTTTGTTTCATTTTTGACATCAGCTCCAACTTCCAGTTCAATAAAATTACTCATACATTGAACTATTCTACTGCTTTGTAATGAAATAGAAATTTTTTAAAAAGTAATGATAATCAAACCAAAGAAATAGACAACATGAAAATTATCTCTATTCCATTTGTTTTATAGCTAAAAAAAGTTTTCATTCTCAAAATGGAGATTACAAAGTTTGGCCTATTTAAGGTAGCTTCCACCAAAAAAAGTAAAAGATTTAGTATTAATTCAAAAGTTACTTGAAAGTGTAAAGCTACACTCAGATTCATCTAAAATAGAAGTGAAGCAGAATTGTCTGAATAATCTTGATAATGAACTCTATATTCTGTTTCACTTTGCTTTGTTGACACAGTCTCTGAACAGGGAAGAACTGTGAAAGTTATTTTAAATTCTCTTAACTTTAAATGAAGTTTCTAGTAAATAAGTTACTAAAAAGCTACCCAAAATGAATTAAAGATTACCTGAGGTTTATTTTCTTCTCAAAATGTGTATTCCCAATGAAACATTTTAAGATGATACCGAAAGCATGGGATTATAATTCATATAAACAAATATATATAAAATATATTTTTTATGTACATATATATATAAACAAATATATATATAATCTTCCAGTCCCTACTACAACTCTGCTAATTATTACAGTTGAAAACTATTACTAATAAACTAATTGAAAACTATTATAATAAAAAGTTATTGCTTTGGGATTTTGACATCTCCTACACAAATTTTTCAGATTCAAATCTCCATAAAAAACAGAATAACTTTTAATGCTGGAAAAATAATATATGCTAAAATAGTATCTGGTGTTATTTCTGCTATGAATAGTATGCATATTTTCTTACCTTTAATAGCCAATAAAATATATATTGCTAAAAGTAGAAATTAACATTTACTCATAAAATAACATAAAAGATGCAATAAAATGTTAAATCATGTTCCAATTTAGTAAACATCCAGGAATATTAAACTGGAAGAAGAAATTCCTTTGGTTATCATGAAATAAAACAGTGATTTCTATATCTTGATTAAAATAAGACATTAATAGATTGAGTTTTAGATATATTTTACCCAAATTACAGCAAATCATAGCTCAACTACTCTAATATCCTGATATCCAGTGATCATGCAAGATGAAACTATAATTATCAGCAAGCCACACATATCAAAGTAAAATAGGTATTGATTAGACTTGTCTTTCACAGTTTAAAGTACAGAAAATTAACTTGCCAGTTTAGTTACCTACCAGCAATGACTGGATTCTATCAGTGTTATCACCTTTACAAACAGCACCAAATTATAATCCCTCTTCCCATAACATAAGCACCATGCCACAGGAGACAACCAAAGCAAACGTCCTGATCATGAATAATGAATAGTTTGGACTGGTTGGAATCCACTTAGTTGAGGAAAGAGAAAAGAGAAGTGGCTCATTAGGGCATTTCCTGAACCTTGGTTGGAATTTCAGTTAAGGAAGAAGAAATGACACAGCAGTTTCATGTACGGGGACTTCCTTTCTTTATGTGAAATATGCTACCAATTTGAGAAATAGCACTCCAACAAAAGCACTCCACAGTAATGTGACCACAGTAAAAGCTCTAGTTGATCCCATTATTGCCCCATAATCAACATTTCTTCCCAGAATAAACACAAGCAGTAAATGGTTATCAAAATGGACTAAGGTCCCACATTTATTGCGACGTGTCAAGTCTCACACTTAACGTTTCTTCAAAAAGCTGACCTGCACCAATTTTCAGTTTTTAAGAATTGCAGTTTTGTTAAGAGTGTTAACAGATTTTGAGTTTTTGCTTTAGGCCATTAAATTTCCCATATTTCATATAATCACATTTTCCTTACATATGATTTTGCTCTCAAATTCCAGGATAATTTTCATCTTGTCCAGGAATATTTTATTTTCCTATGTAGCTGGAAGATATATATTTCAACTTACAAGATTTCTAATTTTTATTATTATTTTTCATATCCCAGTGTGACGTATTTTTAAGGGACATGAATACTGGTTACTCACTCACTACCTTTATAAATGAAACATCTAAAGAGGTCTCATTTTATATATTAGTTACCTGCATGAAAGTAAAAACCTAAAGATACAACTTTGTTCCCACACTATAATTTGTGCTGTGAAAATTTGCATTTACTTTATAACAGTTACATCATTACATATAACATAATTACTAAAGTTTCATGCAAAGGTTACATTCAAATTCCTCTCTTTGTGTTTTATAAAATCATGCAATTGGGCTTCCCTGGTGGCACAGTGGTTGAGAATCTGCCTGCCAATGCAGGGGACACGGGTTCGAGCCCTGGTCTGGGAAGATCCCATATGCTGCGAAGCAACTAGGCCCGTGAGCCACGATTACTGAGCCTGCGTGTCTGGAGCCTGTGCTCCGCAACAAGAGAGGCCGCGATAGTGAGAGGCCCCGCACACCGCGATGAAGAGTGGCCCCCACTTGCCGCAACTGGAGAAAGCCCTCGCACAGAAATGAAGACCCAACACAGCCATAAATAAATAAATAAATAAATAAATAAATAAATAAATATAAAATCATGCAATTAAATTGACATTGATGTTTGTCAAGGAGTGAGGTTTATGTGAAAATGTCTCAGCACTTTGTATCTCCTCTGAAGAACTGCAAAACTATTAAGTAAAAATTTTAAAAGTTCTCTCATTATCAATAACTAATTTTTGAGTCACCTTACATTTTCTTATGATGTTATCACACATTTAAATCTCCTAAGGTGATGGGAAGGAGTAAGTACTTAATTTAGAGCAAAGGTGATTGATTTAAGCTAATTTTAGAAATAAAGAAAACAAGAGTAATAAGAAACATTGTTAAGAAAGAGAAACATATGGGATTTTAACTCATATTAGAAACTACTTCAGATAGAATTATAATTTAAAACACATTTGTGTGACTCAGAAGGTAAGTTTTGAAGCTCTGTTATTATAAGGGCATACATTTTGGTTTTTGAAAAGTTGGAAATGCACACGTGGACACACACACCTGAAGCAAAAGGCACCAATGTGTTAACAGTGCTTATATCTTAATGGTGGTCTAGAGGAGCACTTAAGATATTTTAAAAGTTTTGTTTACCTATAGCTTCTATATTTTATATAATAAACATGTTTGTAATTTGTATTAAAATATAGTTTTGATTTTAAAAATAGTTTGTACACCAAAACATTTAAGGATAGTATACTACTTTGTGTGATACTGTGATATAATAAGAAATAAATATTTGGTCTTCATCCTTGGTTCCTGGTTCACGGTTCTTAATAGGGGTGAGAAGAGCATCTTTTGTTAATCATGTCAGCCCATTTCAACTAGTACATGAGTTTATGTTGAAGAGGTGACTTCTTTGGCCCCAAAATAGTTTCCGGATGAGGGCTGGTTGTCAGAGGAAACAACTACGTGATTAGAGCGTTGTTTTTCTAAATCGCAGATTTGATAATTTTATTCTCCTTACTTGTAACCATCAGAAGATTCCTACTGCCTAAACTGATTCCCATTACTCTAGAATAACATATAAAAGTCCTCACAACCAAATCTAAGTCTGGATTTCAAGCTTCATCATAAACATCCTTCCTTCCTTCTGCTTAGAATGTCCTGATGCAAGACTCTCCCTTTTTCAAAGTCTAGATTGTGTCTGACCTCCTGTCTGTAGGTTTTTCTTGAAAGATAAGAATTAAATGCTCTTGTGTGTGTGAACAAACGGAACTTTACATATCTTTCTACTATAAGTATTAATGTCAGTATATTTTAATCCCAAATAAATTTGTAAATTCAATATAATATCCATCAAAATTCTAGTTACAGTCTATTGGTGTTTCTATTATTATTTACTAAGAAGAATAAATGAAAAACATAGCCAAAATATTTTGAAATTAAAAAATAGTGAAGAAGGACTTGACTAATGAGATACTGGACGTACTGTAAAACTACACTAATCAAAACAGCTTACTGATGGCATACAGTAGACAGAAAACTCAAACATGCATTTTTAGAAATTTAGTATATGTTGAAGGTTGTATTTCACATCAGTAGGAAATAGATATATTTCTCAATAAATACTTTAAGGGCAAATAGCTAACAATTTGTTGGGAGAGAGGGAGAGAGGAAGAGAGAAGTAGAGAGAGACCCATACTTCTACTATACCAAAAACTCAATTTCAAAATCTTAAAGATGCAAATATAAAATTTTCAAAATCACCCCCCAAACTGTGACTATTTTGTAATTCATAAAGTAGAGAAAAATATCAAGAAAGTCTAACGTATTTGACCACATACAGATTAAAATCTCTCTAAGAAAAATACTTTTTAATGACTAAAAAAAATCTTGGGAAATGCTTTTATTCCTTAGCTTTAAATCATATAACATGTAGGTAATCATTACACTGTATTATAAAGGTTTGATTGTCTTCTTATCTAAAGATGTACTTATTGCTGGATTGGACCATAACTTTTTCTTCTTTGTATTGGTAATTCTTAGTTTCATGACACTGGAAATTATGTAAAATGCTTATATTTATTCCAGGCAGGGAACAAAGGACCTGGGATATTTAGACCCCCCCCTAAAATCCATCAGCCACTGGTTTCAGGCTGCCTCCAAGGGAACGTTAACACCCAAGCATATCCTGCCCAAGCTGCAGCTGGGCAAAGTGGAATCTGTTCTGCTGAGGGCAGCCTTCTGACAAAACTTCCATTGCAGGCAATTGGAAGACAAGCCTGAGATGGTAAGTGGTATATGGAAGTATAGACAGAACATGGACAGCATATGCTCCAAGTACTTATAATTAGTCCTGTCACACAATAGACAGTGTATATTAAATACTAAGCCTTATGTTCTTCACAGTAGCTTCTCCATCAAAACCAGTATTTTATCTATTATTAATTAATCAGCTTCTACTGAATGTCTACCATGTATCAGGCAGTAGGATACAAAGACAAGCTGTTGTGATCCTTACCCTCAAGGAGATTAAAATCTAATAGAATTTGGAAGATAAATTACCTATGGTTTAAGTTAGTTAAAGGCGGAGAAACAGTAATTTAGTAGATGAATATATGAAATAGCAAACAAAAATGATGCAAGGAATAAGTGGATTGTTTTCTTACATCTGATTTTGTGAAGGACTGGGATACTGAAATGAGAAATGCCACAAAAGTAGAGGCTGCTTCGTTTCTAAAGTCAAACATATTTGGGGGCACTAAGGTAACAATCAGTAATAGATAATGTCTATGATAAATACTGTTTAAGTTAAAAACATATGAACAGACCATAGAAGAAAAAATTTCTGTTTGCCAAATGGCAGCTAATGCACTTTTGGAAATGGACTCAAAAAACATTCCTACAAGTAAGTAGAAAGCAGACAAGAAGATTGCATACCAGCTCTTCAAAAAAGAAAAACAATGCATTCATTGTAACTTCAGACTGTATTCATAGAAGTCTCAAAGATAAAAGATTATTGGTAAAGAATCCTTTTAATGGCAATTGATTTTGTACATATATACCTGGATGTTGAGGGTCATTATGCCCATAAGTATGCCTTTTTTCTTACCAACAAGTAGCCTAGTTTAAGATAATCATTAATTTTTTAAAAACTTCCAACCTGATAAACACTGAAGAAATCTAACTTCTCTTTTAAAAAGCTAAATTCAAGGAAAAGATACAACTCTCCTAAGAAGTTTGGAGAAAAAGTCCAGAATCAATATTACCATAGAAAACAAACAAAATCAGATGTGAGTATATAGAACTGGAGTTTATATGTCCCTCAGGGATAGAAATTATCCTTTTACAGAGAGACTAATATTACCATTAAGTCATTTGGCAAAAAATTCACATTGATTATTCAAAAGTCTGATTTCATTACCAGAAGTGCATAAGTTAGAAAGTGAATGTTCCCTGTTTGTATGTGATTACTCTACACTTTGCCTGAATAGCACTTTAAGATAAACACTAAATATCAAATCTGATCTTAAATTCCAATATCATTTAAGAATTACAGAACATCAAACATATAGGAGTTCATCCCACTAAAATACTAACACTGAAACTTATCTAGATTTCTACTATTTCACTAGCACATTAGCAAGTGTAGTATTTGCAAACTTTCAATATATCTTTTAAAACTGCATTTAGGTTTTATTCCATCAAAGTTATTATGTCCTTAAGAAGCGTACTAGGCATGAGAGCTGTGGAACACGTGTAGATCAGTATAAATATACAATTGCAATAGTAGTACTTTTTCAGTTCTAAAATGCTCTCATCTACTTCAATGAACTTCACAAACATCAACTCGTCAATCCACAGTGTCAGCAGAAGTGCATGACTTAACATTGCTCTGTGAGAAATGGAGAAT